CCTGTGTACCGGTAATTTAAGAGTGGCACAAACTGAACACAGATGGTTTGGGATTTTCTGTTTAATACTTTTGTCAATATGTTTGTTCAGAAGGAAGTTTTTCTTGTTTTATTCTTTTATTAACAGCACTGGAATATACAACAAGTCAATATTTGTGTTCTTCAGCAACACATTTGTTCACATTCTCTTTGCGTTAATGTGACATATTCACTTTAAATGTTTCTCCTGTTTTTATGTTGTTGAGCAAAAATTCTGATCAGAATCCATTATTCTAGTTTTGAAATCAAATACCAGAGTATCAAGAGATATCAGAGGATTTTGAAATTTGTATGAAATGCAATAAAATAAAATAAAAATAGAAACGCTATGGATATATTAAATCCATTCTTTCCTTAAGAAAAAAAAAATCTTTGCTGTGTATTTCCATCCTGCTGATTGGTTGAAGAACACACTTCCCGCTTCCCTTTTTGCAGTTTTTCTGCTATTTCAGTTCAATTCATTTTTCCAATTTTTATGTTACAGTGTTGAGAAAATGTCAGTAGCTATGTCTTTAATTTGCTTCTTTGATTTATGTCTAATTTTAATCTTCCCCCAAAGCAACATAATCATACCACATATGTCTGTGACAATCCATAAATACATTCAAAAATTCCTTAGAGTCGAATCCCTTAGGGTTAAAGGGTGATAGTGTGGGGACTTGAAACCCCTAACGGTATCTCATGTTTTACTGTCAATTAAAAAAACTAAATATTTATCTGCATAACTGATTCTATTTCAAAAGCCCTTGTTAAAATAAAAGAAAATATATTAACTAATATTGACAGGGGTATGATTCTTGCATGTGTTTCATGAAGATAATGAATAACTGTAAGATCAGGTCTCTTGTGTCCAGCTGGGAGCTCTTGCAGAGGACAGGTTTACATGAAAGCATTGTCCATCCATCTTTTAGTTTTTTTTCATAATATATTCTGATGCTGCTTTGGTATTATGCAAATCAGAAGAGTCTGGTTTTTAAAGTCTTGAGCTGATGCTGTCAGTTGCAGAAAAAGAAAAACTCCCATCAGATCATCTTCAACTCCATCATGGTTTCTATTGCACTTCTGCTGCTGCTGGCTGCTGGATCCTGTAAGTCTCACTAAGTCAGAAACATTTACAGTATTATCTCACTATAGAGAATGAACTAGTTTCCTCCACAGGTGTGAGATGTGATCAACTGACACAGCCAGCTTCTATAACTGTGCAACCAGGCCAACGTCTGACCATCAACTGTCAGGTCTCCTATGATCTGAACAGCTACTGGACACACTGGATCAGACAGGCTGCTGGGAAAGGACTGGAATGGATTGGAGAGAAAACTGGATCTGGAACTTCCTATTATAAGGATTCATTAAAGAATACATTTAGCATTGATTTAGATTTAGCCAGAAAAACAATGATTTTGAAAGGACAGAATCTGCAGCCTGAAGACTCCGGTGTTTATTATTGTGCCAGAGAGACACAGTGACACAAGCAGGAGGCAGAGCTGTACAAAAACCCCTCAGAGCCTTAACAGGATATCAAGTCCCCATGGAAAAGAATGTTTTTTATTTTTTTATCAAATACATAAAGGATTATGTATTGTTCATCATTTATAGCATTGCTTTCTTTCATTCACTCAGAGGTTGTGATCAGTATTAGGTTTGCTTTTAAGGTAGACACAAAATTAGACTTACCCTCAATATTATTAATGAATGTATTCATTAAATCCAGCTTTAAAAATATTGAAAAAGAGTTCAACTAATAAGCAAACATCAGTTATCAACATTTTAATCTTTAAAATTGTATCTCCTCTGTCTCTGAACTGTTTGGGGATTTACTTTTAGATTCACCTTTGGTTCAACACACCTTAATCAAGTAATTAGATGATTGGGAGGACTTTGGAGGAACTGACTGCATACTGGGAAGGTAACTCAACCATTTGATTCAGGTGTGTTGGATCAAGGATGAATCTAAAAGCCCTCAGGAACTGGAATTATCCATCCCTGCCATAGATCATTCCATCATACTCAATAAGCTAAACTTAACTGGCTCTAGGACCATTCAACTTTTTAAATAACATTTATTTGCAATTTTACTCTCCAGATATTTGACTATATAACAATTCAGTTTGAGACTCATATAACAATTTTGGTTTAAATTCACTTGGTGGTTGTAACAAAAGTCCATTTAGCCTTAAAGAAAGATAAAATCCAGTTCATATTTTTTCTGGTTGATCTGATGATCATTACAGAGCAGCAGGTTTCATTTTATCAATATTAAAGTTGGAATCCAAGTATGAAAAGCAAAAATCCAAACCCACTGCAACACTGGTTGGACAACCGCAATGATGTTTTCTTTTTAGACCAATGATTGAAAATAGACAAATGAATGTTGAAGATCTCATGGTCACTGATATCTTTAGATCATAAATGAGGTCATAAATGTTAGGAATCCAGTTTGTGTGGGTTGTGCGCTGTTTGTGTTTTCTCCCTCCACCACCAGGTGGGACCTGGTTCTCGTTGGCCCTCCACACACCTGCGGATGGTTGACTCATTATCTGAGGACTCTTAAGCGATGATTGCCACTACCTCGACACCAGAGTGTTTGCCAGTTTTGGGTACTTTAGCCAAGCTGAGTCTAACTGAGTCTTTTGTTTCTCTGAGTCTAACGTTATTCTGTCTTTGCCTCTCGGCAGGAAGTCATCCTGCAAACTGGATGTTTGGACCGTCTCCCCCTGAATGGATTGTTTGAGCTTCACACTTAGCAGAGGGTAAATCTCCACACATGCCGTTCAAGTCCTCCTGGAAATCTAAGTGGCAGTCTGCTCCATTGCTCCTCAAGGAATCAACCTAACCAAAGTAAAACCTGTCCGCCCTCCAACGAGTCAACCAAGTTCTGGAATAACCCACACCGACTGGATTCTGGGAAGGATACCTTTTTCTGGAAACGTGAATCCCATTTCAGTCTTTGTTTTTGCAAGTCGTCCAAGTTTCCTACGGAACCTGAACTAAACTCTGAACTTCCCTTCACACTTCCAGTAGGTCAGATCCCTTAAAAGAAACACGACAATAAACATAGTGCAGATATATTAGTTTCTCATCACCTTACATCGTTTGGACACGTTATATATTAACTTTATTTCAAAAATAGTGTTTTCTATTTCTATTACTGAGTGTGCACAGTCAAATGAAGCTGCCTTTAAAAGACAAGGGAGTTCTAATGATAACAAGGCCTGATAAAAGGCTGTGTAAATGAATGTTATAAAAAAAACTCTTCCAGAAAAAGTTTTAGAAAATATACTGTTAGCAGAATGCAGCATTTTTCTTTAATATCTTTTTTGTACAAATTCTTTTGCTGTTTTATACTTTAGAAATATTCAAATTGCTTCTGGGTGTTGAAGCAAAAACACGTCAGACTTAAGTGACTCTGTGTGTTTACAGACTGATCTACACATTTGTAGATCTTAGTACACATTTGCAAATCTTAACACTTATTTATAGATCTGAATAAAGATTTGCGGATTTTTTACACATTTGCAAATTGACTACACACAAGTTATTTTACACATTTGCAGATATTCATAGACAGACAAATCTCCTCACACATTTTCAAATCCCACTGCACACACAAATCTAGATACAGATACACAACTCTCCACACACATTTGCATATAATTTTATAACAATATTGCTCTTATAGCTTTCAGTGTTGTTGTGTCCTTGGGTACGACCCTTCACCTGAATTGCCTACTGATGGTGGACAGAGGCCCCGGTGGCGCCTGTGTATTCCAGCCTTGCTTCTGTCAGTGAGCCCCAGAGTAGTTGTGGCTACAATGAAGCTTGCCACCATCAGTGTGAATGTAAGTAGTGTAAAGTGCTTTGTTCAAGTCCTCTTACCTGAACAAAGCACTATATAAGTACAGACCAGAGGACTCTGCTCTATATTACTGTGCAAAGGACACAAAGTGGTTAGGTTGTACAAAAACTAGACCAAAGACATTTTCAGGTACTACTGCAGGGGGCAATAGTAGATTTGATGTTCCTGACCCGGTCCCTCTCACAAAGAGAGACACAGAGGCTGTGGATAGTTGTGAACTAAATGATATACTTTATCAAATAATATAATTCAATGTAAAAATGTTGCCTAAAATTTTGTGTTATATAATGATGTCCAACAAATTGCAGAGTATAACTACCACAAACAATGAATATGTTTGTGAGCGCTGACTTTGTTCACTTACAATAATGAGGACAGGAATACCATTATAAATAATAATACTTAATTTCTATTGAGTTTCAAGATATTTACAAACATACTATAATTCAACATTATATAAAATACTTAAACGGCATTAACCCTTCACAATCTCCTACATATTGTAGATCAGAACAGCAATGATTTTGCTATTTCAATACATGAATAGCTTTAGTAGCTGCCTTTAATATTATACATTTGAATGCAAAGAAGCAGCAAAGCTGTACTAAAAACACTAAAAACTGAAAAACCACTAGACCAGCACCACTAATATAATATAAAAGAAAAGATTTCAATCATTTTAAGTTTAGAAACTGTAATAATTGGAAGGCTGTATCTTATTATATGAAATCATATTTATAAATATGACACCACATAGTGAAGACAGAACACAATACATTTAGACTTCTGTAAAAAAGAAACTGTTTTTAGAATTAATGTTGTTTATGGCATGATTTAAAAGGATGGTTTGAGCATATTATCAATGAATAATGTTTAAAGCAAAGCAGCTTTTCACATCCAGGGTATATTTGCCTAAAGATATTACAGATTAATTCAAAAATACTTACTTTTACGTCCAACATACCGGTAATTTAAAAGAAAAGCCTTTTTTTTTTCAGAAAGGGATTTTTTTTATTATGCAAATCAGAAGAGTCAGGTTTTAAATACTTGATCTGATGGTTTCAGCTGCAGAAGGAGGAAAACTCCCATCAGATCACATGATCATCATGTTCTCTGTTGCTCTCCTGCTGATGGCTGCTGGATGCTGTGAGTCTCACTGAGACAAAAATGTTTTTTAGTATGGAAACGCAATTTACTGTTGTTCAAAGTTAAGCTTTCATCTTCTGTTGATTTTTTGTTTGTTTTTAGATGTGAGCAGTGAAACTCTGACTCAGCCAGCATCTTTAACTGTGCAGCCAGGTCAACGTCTGACCATCAGATGTCAGGTCTCTTATTCACTGAGCAGCTACAACACAGCTTGGATCAGACAGGCTGCTGGAAAAGGACTGGAATGGATTGGAATGAAACATACTGGAGGTTCATACTACAAAGATTCACTGAAGAACAAGTTCAGTATTGACTTAGACACTTCCAGTAAAACAGTGACTCTGAATGGACAGAATATGCAGCCTGAAGAATCTGCTGTGTATTACTGTGCAAGAGACACAGTGACACAAACAAGCAGCAGAGCTGTACAAAAACCCCTGAAAAGTTATAACAAACCCCCAGAGGAGGAGCTCTGAGATCGAATTTCGAAGTCATTTGAAATTCTGTCAAGATTGTTTTAAACAAACAAAAAAAAAAAGAAGTATTTTTAGGTGTACTGTGGGTCCCACCCTGAATAGGCATACAAGACATTCCACATACTAAGCAGAACAAGATGGCTGTATATAAACTACAAGCAAGTAGATATAATAGTGTTCTTTTTTTATATTCAGAGTACAAAGGACAGTAAAGAACAAAGTGATGCTCATCTTCAACCACATTAAGGTCACAAAAAACATAAACTCTCTGGAAGTTAGAAAGGGGCCAGGACCAGGAGACGGCATGCTTCCCAGAGCCAGTGTAGTTTTCATAGAGATCTGCTGATGTCACTAGCAGCAGGTAACAGCTGTACAGTTGCCTAAAATTATTTATTGACATATAGTATTAAAACAGGTAAGAATATGGAGTAATTTCCTTAAGTTCTAGACGGATGATACTCCTAAAAATATGTGACCAAAGTACATATTTTATGAATTTGGTTTTTCAATGTGGGAAAAAAGTTCTGTTGTTTTTTTTTTTTTTTATCAGCTTAAAGTATGTCTTTTGCAGTAACAATTAAAAATGTCCTTTATTCTTAGAGTTATGGCAGAAGTGTTTGTTGAATGTTCAATTTTTATCCATCTACTGGAAGGAGTGCATATACTGTAAGTGTTTTAGTTTTTATTTATAATTTTTACTCTGCATAGACAAGAAGAAACACATTAAATGTAGACATAGGTAAGAATGTTATAGTTCTTAAAGTTAATTTTTAAGGCATGACTCTTCAACACTGGGAAAAGATGAATAGATTATAAATAAGATTTATTACAAAAGAAAACTAATGTCACATTCAGGGTGAATATGCAAAAACATTTCATTAAAATATGCACATACTTCCTCTCCTTTCCAATTCACAGAACTGATTTGATATAAGTATTATGAATAAAAGCACATTGTTCCTCATGCTAGTTAATAGAAAGCCTTTTAGTTCCTCAGATGGTGTTTTTGGTATTATGCAAATCTCGACTGTCAGGCTTAAAAGACTTGATCTGATGCTGTGAGGCTGCAGAAGAAGAGAAACTCCCGTCAGATCATCTTCAACACCAACATGTTCTCTGTAGCTCTGCTGGTGCTGCTGGCTGCTGGATCCTGTGAGTCTGGCTGAGACACAGACATTTATAGCATGATCATACTGATTTTATTGAAGTTAAAATTTGGTTTTAATTTGCTTCTTTTAGATGTGAGCAGTGAAACACTGACTCAGCCAGCCTCTGTGACTGTAACGCCAGGTCAACGTCTGACCATCAGGTGTCAAGTTACTTATTCTCTGGGCAGCTACCGGACAGCTTGGATCAGACAGCCTGCAGGAAAAGGACTGGAATGGATTGGAATGAAATATACTGGAGACTCATTCTACAAGGATTCACTGAAGAATAAGTTCAGTATTGACTTAGAGACTTCCAGTAGCACAGTGACTCTTAATGGACAGAATATGCAGCCTGAAGACTCTGCTGTGTATTACTGTGCAAGAGAGGGTCACAGTGACAAAAACAAGCAGCAGAGCTGAACAAAAACCCCTCTGAGCCTGAAAAGTTATATCAAACCACCAGAGGAGGAGCTCTGAGATCACTTATTAATTGCTTATATTTAAAAAACTGAAAATGGAAAGATTGCACAGAAGATATTTGGTCTTTTAAGATGAGAAAATAGAAAAAAAAGGAAAAACATTTTTTTTTATTATTTGCTATATTCTACATTATACTCAGAGGTTTGTAATCAATATTTATTTTTCTTTAAAGAAAATTGATAAATGTCAAAGAAAGGTTCCCTACTATGATCTCAAAAATGCCAATTGAACTCAACAAAATATTGCTCATAATAAACTAAAATACTAATTAAAAAACATTTCCCCTAGAACATCACCTTAAGAATAAAAGGAAGTAAAATACTTTCTTCATCCCAGAAAGTTAATTAAAATCATCTATCAACTTACTGTATTTAGCCTAAAAAAGAAAAAGAAAAAATCTTCATGATGTTACCTTCAACTAACACCCCATTCTCCACTTAACCCTAAATGAGTTTTTAATATACAATTATATTGAAAATATGGTGTCAAATGTACTTAAAGGTTATGAGAAATTGTAAATGTTGTGTCACATTAAATGATAAAAAAAGAATAAATATTTCTGAATTATCTGGTGATAATCACAGTCCTCCATGTTTTGTTTCAGCTAATTAGCCAGAAATAGAAATAAGAGAAATGCTAGAAAATAATCAATTTAAAAGGTAATTTAAAAGCTGATTGGAGAAGAAGTTCATGAAACACTACAAAAAAATCTATGAGGAACAAAAACTGAATCCAAAAGTTTTGGGATTTCCTGTTTTTTAGAGCTTCTGTCACCATCTTTGTTCAGTAGAAAGATGTTTTGTTCCACTTTTTCACTAATAGCTCTAGAATATATATCTGCAGTATTTTTTTCTTTGATAAAATCTTTTTGTAGACATTCTGTGGCTGATTAATGCTACAAATTAATATGTATTTATGGCCTGTTTTGATGTAGATTATGTAGAAATATCTGTTCTGCATCCTTTCATATTTTCTAATGTCTTTTTATATTGAATCCAAATATTAGGAATGCATTAAGGAATATTTTGATATTTTATGTTTTATTTGAAATATATAATGAATTAAATTGACTGTGGGTGAATTAAACCCCTCCCATCATCCCTCATTATCATGATGCAAATTAACAGTCTCCACTGTGTATTTCTAACCTGCAGACTGGTTTGCCGTTAGTGTCTCCAGCTTCAAGATGATGAACACACTCTCTGTTCTCCTTCTTGTCCTCTTTCTGCAACGTAAATTCAGTCTTTGTGTTTATGTTAGACTGTTGAGTAAATATCAGCACATTTTTTTAAGTTCCCCTGTCATTTTTAACTCTGGCTCTTCTCTTTATCCCATCAGGTTGTTCTGGTCAGACGATGGACTCCATACAATCAGGTCCACTAATAAAAAGGCCTGGAGAGACTCTCAGTCTGTCCTGCAGAGGATCTGGCTTCACATTTACCTGCTGTACTATGAACTGGATCAGACAACTCCCTGGAAAAGGACTTGAATGGATTGGAGAAGGGTTTTCTGATCAAAGCGGTAACAGCTATGCCAGCAGTGTGAGAGGACGTATTGAAATCAGCAGAGAGGACAGTAAGAGCATGGTGCATCTGAGGCTATCCAACCTTAAACCACAGGACTCTGCTGTTTATTACTTTGCAAGGAGACACAGTGGTTAATGTGATCAGAGAAGCTGTACAAAAACTAAATACTATCATTCTCAAAGGATCCTGAGGGGGGCAGCAGAAGATGTTTGTTGCACAGAGTCTTATAAAGGCAAACAGTTCTTAAAGGAATAGTACACCCAAAACATGATTAGCCTTCATTTTCTACTCACCCCCATGCTGAACAACACTCTGGAGTACTTTTTTGATATCTCAAATGCATCTGGAGATCTGGGAGGCTTCTTGCTGTCTGCTGACATTCAAATAATGGAGGTCCATGGCGCCCGAGACAGAAAGGTCCATAAAAGTCCACAAAAACGTGTCAATATTCCTCCATACTGCTCGTCCAATGTAATCCAAGTGTCCTGAGTGGGTAGCATCCAGAATTTACTCGAAACGAAGTCATTTAGAATGTTTTTAGAGCATAAACAGTAGTGTATAGGATTTCCTAATAGCGCCCCCATGCGCGCTCACGACGCTACGGAAGCCGGCAGACCAAACCGGAAGAAAGTGCGCATTCAGCGTCTGGTCTGCCGATAATGCAAGCGTAGAAGAAGAAATGTGCTGTTTACCTGTGCAAAGAAAGAAACAACGAAAGAAAAATGTCTGAGGACTTCAGTGTTGAGGAAGAGCATGAGTTCTTTGCCGAGCTGAATGCGCTGGTTTGGTCTGCCGGCTTCCGTAGAATCGCGAGCGCGCATGGGGGCGCTATTAGGAAATCCTATACACTACTGTTTATGCTCTAAAAACATTCTAAATGACTTCGTTTCGAGTAAATTCTGGATGCTACCCACTCAGGACACTTGGATTACATTGGACGAGCAGTATGGAGGAATATTGACATGTTTTTGTGGACTTTTATGGACCTTTCTGTCTCGGGCGCCATGGACCTCCATTATTTGAATGTCAGCAGACAGCAAGAAGCCTCCCAGATCTCCAGATGCATTTGAGATATCAAAAAAGTACTCCAGAGTGTTGTTCAGCATGGAGGTGAGTAGAAAATGAAGGCTAATCATGTTTTGGGTGTACTATTCCTTTAATACTTAATGAAATGCATGCAGATTGCATACAATGTTCCCATATACTTCTTTGATTATTGTATTAATTTCATATGTTTAAACACTTTTTGAAACAGAAGCTGCTGGTTGTGGTAAACTTATTTTCCACAAATGTGCTGATTTTTTTGCACAATAGTGTGAACTTTATTTTAATATAACTTTACATTTAGAAAAAAACAGCCAGATAGATACTTTTTTATCCTTTCTGTTATAGATGAGCTATTTAAATACAGGTATTTTTTTTTTATTATTACAATATAGATTACCTCATTGATTTTTTTTTGGCTTTTTTGAAAAAGGTGCCTGTTACACAAAGATGAAGTTCAATTTTGGGGAATATATTGCAAATACATTTGTATAAAATAAATCAGTGTATATTTCTGTGTGGTTTATTTGTAATTTGTACCACTAAAAATTATAGTTTTCAGACAAAATCAAATAGCATTTGTTATTGGACAAAAATATATGATTTTATCACACCAACCTTTCAAAGGTGCTGTGATAAAATATTCCCATTTTCTTTACTTTCCATAATATTCACTGAATTTGTCAAAACTGGGGGAAAAATGAATCAGAGTTGCCTTTACGAACTACAGTATTTATGTTGTTTATACAGACTGAAAAAACTGGGTTGGTTCTCATCCATTCATCGTTCAGTCTATATACTC